AATGAGGCAACCTCGGATACTTCCCCACTCTCAGCTATTGCCATTTCTGTGCTTTACTGTATGATTACATGTTGATTAGAGAGGCTTGGGCCTTGAGTTTCACACTCAGTATGTTTAGGGACCTAGATCTGCATTTTAATACTTTAGGTACCAAGATGTTACAGCGAGAAAAGTATGGGTACCACTGGTGCAACTTTAAATAGTTAGGCCTTGTTTGGATGCATGTGTATCCACCTCAATCCACATGTGTTGGAGTGAAATGGAATGGAATTTAGTTTAATTCCACTCCAATCCACTTCAACACATGTGGATTGAGATGAATACATGCGCATCCAAACAAGGCCTTAGGGGGATTTAGTTCCCCTGTGAGCAAAGTGATAATGCACGGACAACAGGTTGCTGGATTAAGTTACAAGCTGACATTTTTAATTCTATATCTAACATACTTATTCTAGATTAAATTTTCCTTTTAAGATTACAAGGTAGGTGCACACAAGCCTGGTGTGCATGCAGAAGAAAACGGGCCTCCCAAGCACACATCCATAATTCTAGAGGCACCCAAAACTTCGATGTGTCCCCTAGCAGAAGCAAACCTGCAACCTCATGGAACATGGACATGTGTTTCCTGACTGAGGTGCACTTGTCCGTTGGAGCCCCAGTGGAAGGAGTGGCACTCCCACAATTCCACCATGTTATTAGCAGGCAGTTCTTCAGTTCTCCCTGTTTGTATGTGCTGAGAAGTAGTAGATGGCCGGCGCTCAGTAAGGTTTGCATCAAAGCACTTCTGCCATGGGAATACTGAAGAAGTCTGCCAACATGTGGATACCAATTACACCACTTCCATAAAAATAAAAAAAATCTGCACTCCTATGTAACATTTTTTTCTAAATCTCACCTGAGTTACACCAGGCCCTACTTTGTCTTGGTACTAAACTACTAGTTGGCTCATTGCAAGCTTATAACCACACTGATCGACTACTGAAAGTGTAGTGACACCAATATCTAGTATGTCGTGGGGCACCCAAAAATTTGGATTTTTTTTATATAGTTGATGCCCTATTTGGTAGAGCTTCTATCTTAGGGCATGTTTGGTACATCTTCTTCTGCCCTTGATTCTCTGAGAGAAGTAATTCTGTGGCTGAAAGTGGATTCTCTAAGATAAACTATAGGTAAAAGGTGATTCTGTGAGAGAAGTGAATTAGCCTACCCCAACTTGCTTGGGACTGAAAGGCTATGTTGTTGTTGTGAGAGAAGTGAATTAGGAAAAGCTACTTTTTTCAGCTCTTAGGCTCTTGGTTCATTTCAGAGAATCACTTTGCGGAATCAGCATAGAATCACTTCTCTGTAAATTACTGTTTGGGTTTGGCAGAGCTTCTCCTGGATAGAATCTGCGTCAGGAGCTCTGTCCAACAAGCCCTTAGGTTAGCATAATGTTTTTATTTTCCTTGGAAAGCTCTAAAGTAAAAATAAAAATAATGAATCTCTGCAAAAGTTTCATGTTGATAATTCAAAATATAAAGCAGCCAAATTATTTTAAGTTTGTTTGATCTTTGGGATTTCTGGATATTTCTTCATTGGGTAAACTGAACCTATAACTACACATTCAGTTCCCTTGTCCCTGATAATCAGTACTTTTCTCTTTGGACCATGGAAAACTCTTTCTGTAAATTGTCAATTCTTTCTCTGTTGTTGTATTGTACATGCTTTATTGTATTTTGGCTGGGAGTTTTTATTCACTGCTTTCAGAAATTGCGTACTTGTTTGTATTGGTCCAACACCCTTTGCATTTGTTTTCCTTGCAGAATTTGCAGAATCCTGGTTCCGTGGCTCCGAATATTGGACCAGGCCATGCTAGCCCTATCCAGGATGGAACAGATGCCACAGACTACCTATTCATTGATGATCTTCCCGAGGATCTTTACAGTATGTTGTATCCTGGTACTGACCAGTTCAATGACAGTATATTCTTGGAACAAGCTGGCCAGGAAGGTATTGCTTTTCCTACCAACCAAGCATATATGATGGGAACAGATTCGTATGCTCTTCCAAACAACTTTGAGAATGGAACTGCGAATGCTGAATTGCAGTTAGACCAGGAAAATAACAAGACGAATATGTCAAATGGAAATATCGACAATGGAATTACAATACGAAGGCGCAGAGCAACCGCATCTCCTGCTAACAATTCGCTAGCAGCTGTCAATTTTAAAATGCAGGTTGGAATTAAGAGGATGGTTACAAGTAATTCCGAATCTATCAACCAGACTATGAAGTTTACAGATAACAGTGGTTGTCGTCTTGATCTCAGGACTGATGTTGAGCACCAGAAGAAAAATACAAAAAATGTCATTTCTGCCAAGCAGTCTGATGCAGCCAATCCTGAAGGCCACAGCAATCAAGGTTATCTCAAGGGCTTCAAAAGATGTTCATCAGCTGGATTCAAGGCATACATATTTGTTGCCTTTTTTGTGGTTGGAGTTGCTGCTGTTGCAGTGCTGCATTATCACCGCTCTGGTGCCAACCTATAAATTTGAATCATCAAACATCAGCATGCTTAGTTGTAGCTCTAGTGGTCATCGGCAGCATTGGCTTGAGCGTAGCATCTTCCCGGCTTCGTCCTTGGAGTAGTTCGTCAGCTTTACTTACTTGCATTGGACTGGAATAGTAATCGAGTTCCTCAGCTTTTCTCACTGGGGTTACTGGCCTTCTGGAGATACATTTGTGCGACCACTGATTCCCAGTTATCTCCACATGTTTTTTTGTGGTGCTGTACATATTAAGTTTTTTCTCTTTTTGATCGTCTAGTTGCTACCAACGGGTGCCTATCAAAAAAGAAAAGAAAAAGGGAAAAATGGTGGGGGCGTATGAACAAAAAAGATGTACCTTTGGCTGTTACTGTTATCCTTAGATTTGTAAATCTGAACTATGTTTATAAATGATAGTGGATGACTACATAATTACACTAGAGACCACAGCATGTTTGCATTGAGACCACTGCATTGTTTGCATTCTCTTTTATAATAGCTTCTGTTTGAAGAAGTGAAGATGGTCTCTCGCTTGACTACAGAATTGTACTCCGATAATCCATATGAATTCTGCTGTCTAAGAGTTTGTTAAGTACTTTCGGTTTCAGAATTTCCTATGATGTATCGTTTGTTTCATGTGCCCTATTTCTGGTTGGCATAAGCTAATTGCTGCTGCCTGCTTGCATAGTTGTATGGAAGAGCTACAATTTTGATGAAATGGAGGAAACAAGTTACGCTAGATTGGTTACCATGTGACTTCAGGACACTACGCTAGCTGGATATCTTACCTGCGATGAGACTTCGATAATGATTTTTATTTTAAGGGAAATTTTGTTGCAGGACACCGCTAAAATGCATAATATGCTGATGGACACCGCCAGAACGAGAATTTATCCAAAAACATCGCAAATTCGTGGTTCTTTGCCCAGACACACCGCACCGATTATTTTAATCATTTCTCAGATCTGCGGAAAGTGAAGGTGGGTGAAACGACTTTTTTGCCCTCGTCTTCCACCTCTGGCTGGTCACTGATTTTTGCTATAACACATCGCCGCCGCCTTTTCTTCTCCGGCGAGGTCTCGTCCCGCTCCCCCAAAGACACCGAGCCCGCCGCCACCTCGTCTTGCGTCGTTGACTCGTCGCCACCTAGGCATCTTGTGGTGGGCCGAGACTTCAACAGTCCATCTTCCTCCTCACTCCATGGCCATGGAAGCCATGGAGGAGCTGCCACTCACGCGTGGGAGGGAGGGAGGCTCATCGGCTTGTCTTGCCTTCCAGGCCGGCAAAGATGGCAAGGCCGAGGGGCGGCGCCGGGCCGAGCACGGGCGGTGGGGTCGGGCGGCGGGCAACACAGGTCTTCTGCAGTGTGACGCAGGAGGGCTCTACCGGAGGGGAGCAAAGAAGCCGGCCGGCAAGATGGTAGGTTGGAGCAATGGGCGGCCACACATGCTGCCGCTTGGCCCGTGGGGGCTCATTGGCGGGACGGTGGCGAGGTCGGGTCATTTGGGCGCACGCGTCTTGCGGCGAGAGGGGGTAGGCCAGCGTCAGGTCAATTTGACCAAGCATGCCGTGTTAGGCAGCGGCGTTGTGGCACAACTTGATGGCGGATGAGGAAAGGCTGGAGATGGCCGGAGCAGAGAGGAAGGCGACGCCGTCCATGGAGTCTGCGGATGCCGTTCTCGGAGACGAAATGCCTAGGTGGCGGCGAGTCAACGGCGCTGCACGAGGTGGCGGCGGGCTCGCCGGTGCTGGGGTGCAGAGACCTCGCCGGAGAAGAAAAGACGGCAACAATGTGTTACAACAAAAATCAATGACCAGCCGGAGGTTGAAGACAAAGGCAAAAGAGTCATTTCATCCATCTTCTCTCTCCACAAATATGAGAAATGATTAAAATAATAGGTGCGGTGTGTTGGGAGACAAAGAACCATAAATTTACGGTGTCTTTGAGCAAATTGTTCCGACGGTGTCCATCAGCATATTATGTATTTTTAGGGTGTCAGCAAAATTTCCCATTTTGTTTTGTCTCAACTTCGCTTGCAGCGCAAACTAGATAAGCTAAATTTGTACGAATTCCAGAGCAAATCTTCTGCAAACAGGCAGAAGTGGAGCTCAAATTTACTAGCAATTTTACTTCACTGTCAGCTGGGTGTATGTGCGAACAAACGGATACTCAGTTCAGCCAATCTCATCGAAAAATTCTACCACTGAAGGCTTCAACTTGAATGCATTCGGCATTCCATCCAACAATAAGTACCTTAGTCAATCATTAAAAAAAACTGCGAGTACAATAAATAATCTAGCATGCTGGTTACATAATCTAGCAACCCAGCATTTGCATTGGGCCTATCCAGGAAGGCCACACCGTTTCTGTTAGATTGCTACTATTACTAAGCTGCAACCAGGGCCCGACAAACCCTGTCTCGCTTGGTATAAGAAACCTTGTTATTCTACTATCCTGGATTTCTGGAACCTGCGCTACCATGCGCTCTGCGCCAGTATCCGAATATGATGGCTGGGAGAAACTTCCAAATATGTGGGTTGCTCGGCAGCCCTTGTGCCAGTCTTTACTCCATTAGCTTGCATGCTGGGGAGTTCACCTCCTCTTAAAGATCCTTCCTGTGAAAAGAACACATTCAATTAATAATGTTATTCAGCCTGTTCGCTGGTTGGTTTCTGGGCTGATAAGCCCGGCTGGTGCTGGTTTGTTGTGAGAGGAAAACACTATTGGCTGGCTGATAAGCCATGGCTGAAACCAACAAGCGAACAGGCTGTCCACTTTAAACTGTTCAGAGATGACGTGAGAAATTCCAAATTCGACGTTAATTTGAATTCATCCCCATGATGAGAAAAGGAATAGAACTAGTAACCTGCTATATAAAATTGAACTTACCAAAACATAATAATGGAGACCAGCCCACCTAATGACAACTGGAAGCTATTCTACTCTCTCCAGTGTCTTGCCCAGAATCCCTTCTTTCTTGTCGAATCAGTTTCTGAGACTGACCGAGGTGGTCGAGATCCAATGGAGAAATGTCTCCGCAAAAATGGACGACTAAACGGGACCTTCATGCTTGAACTTGTACCTAACCTGGGCTCCCTGCTACCTTTCTTCTGGTGCTTATTACTGTTCCCATCTGGATTCATATCAACTGCCACATTTTTTGGTATCTTGTTCTTAATCTTTGATTCCAGCTTCCCAAATAACTTCACTGTACATTTCTCACCATGGGTGCATACAGGGCATGGAGGATCATATTTGTCAGCTTCTGTAGTTATGCTGTCCAGACAGTCAGCATGGTACACATGTCCACACAACAAAACAGCAACAACAGCCAGCTCCTGACCATTCCATGTCGATCTCTCCTTTAACAGCTTCAAACACAGCTTGCACACCTCTTGGTCAGGGGGAAGTGAAGTAGAATTCGAAGCACTTGATCTTGTCATTTTACTAGAAATGGATCCCAAGAGCTCACTATCAAGTGACCACCTCTCTCTTTGGGATGTTGCAACCATTTCAGAAAATGTGCGCATTGACCAACCATCAGATGACTCACCATAGGATCCTGCTGCTGATAAGTCATTGCTGCAGACTGATAGCATGGAAGAGGAAGGCCTTCCTTCAGGAGAGCTTATCTCATTGAGAGATCTGAGAGATGGAATTTTACTGTCCGAAACCTGTCTGTATAATTGATACCCTGGTGACCGCCGTGCTTTCTTCGTCGAATCTGAATCTGTAGGTTGAGAATGCCCCCTGGAGGATGATGGATCTGCTCTGGATACTAAAGCAACACTTGACATGTCCAGTGATTTCCTGGAAAGCTTTGCCTGCACAACATATTAAAAAAAAGGTGTCAGACAACAGATGCAGTGGTACTGCAATTGCATGGAACCTAGAAGGTAATAACTTCTTGGTAGGTAGCTTAATGATGCATACCTCAGGGGAAGAGTTACTTGCTGTGGAGCGGTCAGCTGAAAATAAGTAGAAATCAGTAAACAAAGTCCATCAGGTTGAGAGATTACAATAATACTTCCTTTGTTCCAAATTATAAGACATTTTGGATTTTTTAGATACATTGCTTTTATGATGTATCTAGACAGTGTATATCTAAGTGCATAGAAAAAGCTATGTATCTAGAAAAGCCAAAACATCTTATAATTTGTGGAGGGAGTATAAAAGCTTGCTTAATGAAAGCATAGGCCATAGCAGCGAATTGTTTATTACCTCGAGGATCAGCCTTTGTGACCTTAGGTGCTTCCAATTTTTTATCAGATTTGTGCCACTTTGCTCCGTGAAACACATTGGAAGGGCTAGTTCCACGGCTATTTCCATTAGAAAATCCTTCGGTTGGGGCAATGGAACCACTCTTTGTATCAGGCCGAATGCTTCCACTACTATGGTTGGAGAACAGAGTAGGAATATCCATTATGTCTTCTATATGTGTGCGATTGTCCCATCGAAAGCTCCATGATGGCGAGTGCCTCACATTCCTGTATGCTGATACTTCTATTGGAGTGATGCATGGCTGTGTCCTCTCCTTTGCAGCAATGCAGCAATTAGCTCCCATATTGCTTAAAGAAGGGGAATTAATATGCTCACAGTTTTAACACTGAGATGCTCTGAGTTCATTCATGTGATACAAATGTAACAACCCGACACTGCCTAGCTGTACAGGGAGACAATAACAATAATAAGGTCGTTTTCAATAAAGAAATGGGCAAAGACTTAATATAAAGTTAAAGACGATACTATGTACTATACACCGGGGCACTCAGCCTACAGAGGGAGCTAGGGGTACCACATAGAAAGAAGAAAGCAACCCCGAAGAGGAAGCTAAGGGGCATCCATAGCAAGATCATCAAAAGAACCGGTATGATCGGAATTATTAAGCTTTGTTAAATAAAAATGCACATGACAACCTTGCAGCTTATCTAGACATAGTGTATGTCTAAGTGCATAGTGAAAGCTATGTATCTAGAAAAGCCAAAATGTCTTATAATTTGGAATGGAGTGAGCACTAGAAATGCAATCCACAACGAATTGGGCAGCATACAGCAGGGGTTGGGCTACTGAAGGGACTGGAGAGAGGCAATGGAATGTGAGAAAGCCACAAAAGGAGAAACGTAAACTAATGAGTCCAACAATAAGACATAAATGATCAGATAGGGGTCATAAGCCCAAACTAGGATAAAAAAACAAAATGCTTCTTGTTCCTGCTGTATTTGAATTTATTTGGGTAAGCAGAAGTGTATGGAGAAAGCAATTTTTCTAGCAAATGGAAGAACACTAGTAGCATGCTTTTAGTACAATTGCATTCCCTCATACATCCCTAAATACTTGCAGGTGGGAACATCAACATCTAAAAAGCAACCACCTCACTTATTCACAATAAGAAAGCTAAAAGGAATTAAAAATAGATGCTTGTTTATAACTGAAGGCACAACGTTAGGAAAGCTGGCTAACTACAGTTGGGTGAAAATGTGTGGAGGAAGAAAGCAGCTGTTAGGTAGACCAGCGTCAAGACATTCCAAAACTAAAGTACACTCAAAGGCCACATCCTTCGCCCCACACAACAAAATAGCATCTCGCATCTATCCTTACTGCCGAATAAGCACTGTGCAAAACCATGGCAGGATGGAACAAGTATAATATTTTATTGTCCGGTATCCGATTAAAGCAAAATAAAGACAATTCTGCACCCAGAGCCAGAATACAATACGATTTGCAATTCGGACAGGTCACGAGTATATATTGCTTTCAAGCCACAATTATTCTCCATGCGAATTTTTTTCCGTCGATTAGTAACCAAAAGTGTCGATATTTAACTGATATAAATCACCAAAGAACCGATGCTAAATCTAACTGATGAAATTGTGGCAGGAACTAACACAAAATATCAGGTGAAACCAATAATATATCACACTTGAATCATATGCAAAGAGTACAGATCACTAGGATAACAGATGAGAAGTTAGCACCGATCAAAACCCACAATTCATCGGGAGCTACCAGCCCGGACGGCACCGAAATTCCCCATTTGGACCCCCCAACTAACGCAAAAGGCGCCCCCCTTAAGTTCGCGGTAATTACCTCGAATCACGCGACCTAACGGCGCGGGGCCCGGATCTGACACCGCTGGGCCGCCGCGACGCCCGACGCTTAAGACCGCTCCCCGCCGCCGCCGCAAGCAGGTGCGTATTCCGCTAGGGTTGGGGCTCGGCCGGCGGGGGTGAGATTGAGATTGAGAGGAAGGGAATGGAAGCGACGGAGAGGAAGGAAGGGGAGAGAACGGCAGTGTGGCTGTGCGGGTATAAAACCCGGTGCGGATGGGAATGGGTCTCCGACTCTCGGTCGCCGCTTGGCGCTGCGCCTGCCTGCGAGCGGAAACGAAACTGCTCCGGTCACCACTTGAGTGGACACGAGACCGCGCCTCGAGACGCTTCCTTCCGCTGCCGCTGGGCCACGTGCCCAGCGCCCCAGCTTGCGTGTCCCGGACCCGGGCCCACCTGCATTGACTCGTGAGCACACGGTGTCCACCTCTCTAGCGGCGTTCTGCAGAGGTTTCTTTCGCTAGTGGCTACCCGTGGTTCGTCTACTTCCTCCGTACCGAAATAAACGTGTCTGTAATATTTATGTCGATTAACTTTTTAAATTTAATTAGATATATAAAAATATCAGCAAAATTTTCATAATGATCAACTAGAGGATATATACCCATCACTAGCAAACAGTTTGGGATAGTTCATACACGTTGATTCAAGGGCTCCATCAGAAACCTCACGAAGACCGTTGTCCGTAGTCGAAGAGTTGGGCATCAGAGTATCACTACAGTCATCCATCGCTACAATCATCCATCATGTGTGGTTCAGAACGTTAGAACCCAATGGATCTATAGTGTGTGCACCGAAGAATGGAAGTAGAGAGGGCTTTTTACCGGAACTCTCTGGTGGTTTAGCGGAGATGTCACTAGAGTGATCTATAGTTCAACAAGTATTCTTTGAGTCTTTGGAATTTGATCGTTGGGATACTCCGATGCTCATCGGAGCTATCGGATGCGTAGGCAGAAAGTTGATTAAGTTGGTAACAACTAGTTTTGCGTGGGGGCTAATAAATAGGTGGTGAGCTCGGGCATTTCACCTCTCTTGGACCCCTTGGCTGATATCCACACACATTTGAGCTCAAGTTAAGCCTCCATTCACATTTGCTTAGTTGAGATTGCATTTGGACGAGATTGTAGAGGATCTAGTGTATTTGTATTAAGAGTTTGCATCTAGTAGCAGTAGTGACTAATTGAGACTGCTAATTTCTTATTACTCTTGGTGGTTACCGCCACGCAAACGGTTTGGAGCAGTTGGAATTTCCTTGATGCACTCAATTGGAGATTGTGAGGAGCTTTGGACATCGATTGTAAAGGGCTCTTGTGCTCATCCCCGCAGGCGATTGCGAAGAGAAACTCTAGTGGAACTGAGGCTTGTGGAGTGCCTAGTTGATCGACCGACTCATAGGCAAGAGCTCATGTTGGAGCCAAGCTTGAGGGCTTGTTGAGCTTGCAGAGGAGCAACAATCCTTGGACTTGCCTTGATGGAGAGTAGGATGTTGGCAAGTAACTGAACTTTGGGAGAAAAATGTGGTAGAACCTCCTAAGAAATCGGGCCCACGTGCACCTATCGATGTCTCAACAGACCTCAAATAGCGTACACAAGTTCCTAATAACTTAACAAATCTGTCGGGTGTCCTCGAAAAACCCGAATCATCCACGATTTTTTTCCAAACAGGATCCCAATCACAGTCATTGCAGATTACAGCAGTTTTCAATATACATACCAGAGATTATAAAGCGGAAGACTTAAGTTTTAATATTACAAACCAATTGTTCAAACTTACAAATCATAAGTGTCATACAACTATAGTAGCGGGATAATATTACATTAACATTATTTATTTCACACAAACTAGTGCCTTGTCCAAAGGCCATTCATCATTCCTCATCGTCATCGACTTCAAACACTGACATGCAGCAGGGACCAAAACAAGCCTGCGCATGCGACTCACCTGCAACAAGGGTTAACAAAGCCTGAGTACAAAAGTACTTAACAAGACTGACCCGACGAAAAAGGGCGAAGGTCTTAGGGATGCAGGTGTTGGGTCAAGGTAAGGATGTAGCAAAATTTAAAAGTTCTTTGCCAAAAGCTTACTATTCTTGTTCCTATTTTCGAGTTTTACCCCTAAGTACTTTAGTTCATTATCTCAAACATATCACATATTCCAATCCTTCTCATTCCATTTTTTTTCTCATGTTTTAGTAATTCACCAGTCCTGCATTGCTTCTGTAATGAATCGAGTCTCCATATCCGCGGAGCACCGGCAATTCGAATTGATTCAAGTCCCAGCTGGGGATTCCTTATCACACGACATATGTAGAACTTAATCTTGCATATATCAATCTCGCTACCGGATCCTCCCATACTAAGCCGTCTCCACGCCACCCGAGAGCACAGCACGCCTCAAATCCGGCCACATTCAAGCCACGAGGGTACACGCTACTCTCGCCATCTCACCACTTCCAGTGCGTGGGCATTCGTCTTAGTATCGGATTAGCCGAAGTAGGCTTACCGGAGTATGTGACCAGTACTACAAAGTGTCTTGTTTAGAAGATCCACAATGAGTGGCCTTTAAGCGACATAGTCGACAACATTACTCAACATTCAAGATAAGTCGTTCGACTAGTCTCTAGTTCATTCTACCTTCTTTCTTTCTTTGGCCAGTATGCCATCTTTGATTGTATCGAAACTTTTACTTTAAAAACCTACCATAAGCATTCTAAGCATTCTACATCTTTGTAAATGAAAACATCTTCAAGGATGGTAAACAATTAACAAGGTAGGCAATGCATCAAGTAGGCAACATTTGAAGTAAATCAACTTAATGCAATAGGTAACATAGGTGATAAACTTTTCAAAGTAAACAAGGTAATGGTTTAATGCATAAATCGGGGCTTGCCTTCGTTGACGATCTCAGGTTCCAGATCAGTACAACAATTATCGAATCCCGTGACAACCGGGATTCTTCCAGGACTTACTCAACTAGAATCGTTTCACTCTCGGGTTCTACACAAAATGATAACATATGCTTTAACATGATGATAATGTAAACATGATGCTTTCATGTTACATGAAATGTAAAAATACCTTGAAAACGATTTTTCTTCACGGTGTACAGTTGCAAGCCAACAAAACCAACTGGCAATTCTATCGTCAAGAACCACACATGTAATTTGACCAAATGGATCTTGAAACCCTACTAGTCACAAAACATCACCAAAACAAGATCCAATACTAATCAAACCCTTAGGGTTTGCCTTTATTTATTTTTGAATAAATTTGGAATTAAGTCCAAAAATGAACTTGTTCCAAATGACCTCAAAAATTTACGTAAGCTTCCTTATGTCAAATTAGGGTACCAAAACAAATTTCATAATTTTTGGAATTATACAGTGGCCTACAAAAATCATGGAAATTACATTTATTAATTAATGGACTAAATATTTGAACATAAAAAATTTATTCA